TTCCCTTGGTTGGCGATGCGGTCCCGTTGGAGGAGCCGGCGTGGGCTACCTGCCTGAAACAGACAGCAACGGCGCTGGCGTACCTGCACAACCTGGGCTTTCTCCACTGCGACTTGAAACCGGCGGCGGTGTTGTGGAGTTCCCTGGAGCGCAGGGCGTGTCTCTGTCACTTCGGCCTGGCGATCAAAATGGAGACTGTCAAAGCAGGCGACGGCGTCTTCATGAATTGCTACACAGGGCCCTACAAGGCCCCGGAGTTGTGGACGGCGGCAGAAGATGGCCAGGGGCACTTGCCCACGGTTGCGACGGAGGCGTGGGCGTTTGGGGCGACTTTCCTCGAGATTAACGTCGGCAAGCAGTTCATCCGCAAGCAGTCGGACTTGCAGAAGTTTCTGGCCAAGAAGGAGAGCCCGGTCTTGCGCGAGGCGTCCGCGGCAGCGAAGGCGATGGTCACAGAGTTTCTCCAGGAGGATCCCAAGAAGAGGGTGCTCCTCGCTAAGTATACCAAGGCGATCCTAGAACAGGCGCGGGCGTAGATGGGCCAGGAGGCACTGGCGGTGGTGTTGGTGGGCGTAGGCGTAGTAGGCACGTGTTAGCAGACGCCATGCAGCGGATGAGGAAAAGCAAGTATACTTTTGTTTAATTAGCTGTCTGACACTGCAGCCTAGAACTTCTGCACCAATGGCTTCTTTTGCGACTCAGGTCTTGAATCGACCGTGCCGAGGAAGATTGAAGAGGCACGGGTGAGCTCATAACCTAAATAAAGCATACCACTCTTATAAATTCATAATATGTTATTATATGGTTGAAAATATTAAGACGATCCATTGCAGCAGCTGCAATACTGAATTGTATGGACAATTGCATGGTTCTTAGCAGTCTAGGCACATGTCGTCGTTCGCATGCACAACAAACCCCAAACCCTAGACCCTAAAGCTCAAAGGATACCATGAGACTGTTTGGATTTCAGGTTTTGGGGCTTTGGCTAAGAGGTGGTTTGGGGCTTTAGGGTTTATATGGTTTAGGGTTCTGCAATTCTGAAGGAGTGCACGAAACCCTCTATCCCTAAACCCTGAACCCTGAATCCAATAATTTCACAAGCCAAAACTGGGAGAGTAAGGTTTGGGGCTTAAGCGTAGTATAATAAGTACCGCTTGTGATGTCTGGCTGTAGTCCTGCAGTATGTGTTTAATGTTTTTTTTAGGGGTAGGTACGCTTGTTATGGTAGCATGAAAACCCAGGGTTAAGAATTCGTATACTTGCATCACCTGCCATTACATCGTGTCCTTATAGGAACCAGAAGCAGGGTAGGGGGTGTTTTCGGGCGTTTTTTCGATTCTTTTTATATGTGCAAAGTTAGGTATTTCATCCCTAGGTGATAGCATGTATTACATGTGATATATGAATCTGTGTGTTTGGTATGATGAATAATTTTGATATCAGCTATTATTATCAGACCAAAAAATTTCATACATATACACTCATATATGGTGCATTCGTTTTGTGTAGGGGTGGGATGTATTTAGTTGTCGGTATGAAGCAGCGGGTATGAGTGCTCTACTAGTCTACGTTTTACCTTGATCTGTTTGTGCTCTTAGAGAGACCAGGGACGATAAGGGTTGACAAGGGCCTTGCTATATTATTGTAAACATGTATGTTTAAATACATATAAAAAATATTGTGTTAGTGAATTTTTTGAGCTTGGGGTTGCAGTGTGTCAAAAGGTGTTTCCAGTAAGGTACCTATCACGTTGTCATTGAGGTAGGTAGGTTTAGGGTTTAAGTGTAAATAATAAGTACCACTTGGGATGTTTAGCTGTAGTCCTGCAGTATGTGTTTAAGTAACATTGGTAAATTGGTTAATATAGTTATTTCAAGATGCCACATACTGATAACACGCGCTGCAGTATCCGTGCTATTGTGGTTGATATAATTATCATTCCTTATGTTTTTTTAGGGGTAGGTACGCTTGTTATGGTAGCATGACAAATGAAAACCCAGGGTTAAGGATTCGTATACTTGCATCACATACCATTACATCGTGTCCTTACAGGAACCATAGCAGGGTAAGGGGGGTGTTTTCGGGAGTTTGGTTTGTGTTTTTTTTATATCCACAAGTATTTATTTCATACCTAAGACAAATAGGTGTTAACATATATTATATTTGATATATTAATATGTGTGTTTGGTATGATAAATATTATTTTGGATATTAATAGCTAATATCATACCAGAAACAGTTTCATACATATACACTCATATATGGTGCATTTGTTTTGTGTAGGAGTGGGATGTATTCAGTTGTCGGTATGAAGCAGTGGCGGTGTTTACATTTGCACTATTCTTTACAGTTTCGTGCTGCTTTCATTGTTTATTTTTTTTAATCAGAAAACATGCATGTTTAAATCCTTTATGAAAAATATTGTTCTCAGTAAGTTTTCTTGAGCTTGGGGTCACTGTGTGGCAAAAGTTGTTTTCAGTAAGGTTTCTATCATGTTGTCCTTCAGGTAGCTAGCAAGCAAAAACATGAGCGACAAACTAAGAGTATGGGTATGGGCTTCAAATAAAACCAGTATGTAACAGCATTTGGGGTTCTATTTTGCTCAGTACTAGCTCAAGGTTATCAGCCAGTTAGGGATCTATTTTGCTCGAGCAGATCTGCTGTCAGTTTTAGCCAGGCCAAATTACCTCAGAGTATTTTGAAATACTCTGAGGTAATTTTGAGCTTTGAAACTGCAAAATTACCTTTTCAGACGGTTTATTATTACAATTATCCAAAAAGGTAATTCGCAGTTTTAGAAGCCCAAAATTACCTCAGAGTATTTCAAAATACTCTGAGGTAATTCTGAGTGGTTGAAGCCTCAAAATTACCTTTGAGTATTTTGAAATACTCTCCTAAGGGGCTGTGGTGCTGCTTTGCTTACACCAGCAGGGTTCTCGTGGAAATGTCCTTTGTCACTATGAATGTTTGTATACAGTAGAAATGTGTTTACATACTCAATCAATAAGTGTATCATTATTTTTTTTTTGTATGCAATAAATGTTTCTTGATATGATCATCATTCGGCCTAATAAAGCACTGTAACTTTGTGTATGATACATACTGCTTATGTGGGAGCCTCATACCGTTTGATTCACTGCACTGTTGATGTTCATTTGGGTCAAGTATAGAGACACAAACGCTATGAATCTGTGAAGTTGTTGTTCTGGTATGTATATAATTTACCACAGTATACAATCTATAAAGGTACATTGGGAATCATACCAAAACAACTTATTTATATATTAAAGTATAATGGTTGGTAATGCTGGGAGATATAGTAGGATTCGTATGTTCAGGGATATGCCATAGCAGAAAAGATGTAGAACGGTTTAAAAGACAATATCACCATTAGTCACCATCCACTAGGAATAGTAGTCTAGTAGTTGTTGCCGTCCAAACAATACAGAAGAATATACACATATACATATATATATATCAATAGTTCATACCAGCCATACCAGACATAGCAGCAAAATCAAACACTTCCCTTTTGTTGTGTAATTCAGTACTTCTGGTATGATTCACAATATAACCAGAAGCTTTTATGCATTGCATACCATGAGACATTTTGTGCATAACAAACGAAAACTTGAATTTTAATTTCCCCAATTCAAAACCACACTACTCAACAGTTTTACAGCATGACTAATTGTAGTGGATAAATCGTGTTGGAACAAACTGTTTACGTAGCCTTTTCTATATCAGTTTATAATCGTATATTAACCAAAACACGAACCATACCCAAAACCACGTTGACACCAAACATTAACATGTGTTGTGTAGTTGCATTCTTCTGGTATGATTCATAATAAAAGGCTCCTGATGCCGACACATTGCATACCATGATAAATTTCATACATACACACGACAAACTTGAGATTATCCGACTGGCAGTGCTATGTAGTTCCATACTTCTGGTATGATTCATCATTAAGGTTTTAAAGTCTACACGTTTCATACCGCGATAAAATTTATGCATACATTTTAATGAACCGGAATGTCAGTGGTGTGGGGTTTAAAAATAGAATTTTGCAAATTTATCATGGTATGAAACGTGTAGACTTTAAAACCTTAATTTAATGATGAATCATACCAAAAGTATGGAACTACATAGCACTGCCAGTCGTGTAATCACAAGTTTGTCGTGTGTATGTATGAGATTTATCATGGTATGCAATGTGTCGGCATCAGGAGCCTTTTATTATGAATCATACCAGAAGAATGGAACTACACAACACATGTTAATGTTTGGTGTCAACGTGGTTTTGGGTATGGTTCGTGTTTTGGTTAATATACGATTCTAAATTGATATAGACAAGGCTACGTAAACAGTTTGTTCCAACAGGAATTAATCCACTACAATTAGTCATGCTGTAAAACTGTTGAGTAGTGTGGTTTTGAATTGGGGAAGTTAAAATTCAACTTTTCGTTTGTTATGTACAAAATATCTCATGGTATGCAATGTATAAAAGCCTCTGGTTATATTGTGAATCATACCAGAAGTACTGAATTACACAACAAAAGGGAAGTGTTTGATTTTGCTGCTATGTCTGGTATGGCTGGTATGAACTATATATATATATATGTATACTACGACTACTACTAGGACGGCGAGTACTGCTAGACTACTATTCCTACTGCCACTGCTACTTTATCGATTACGACTGCTGCCAGCAGGACTACGAGGGTTTCAGGTGTTGGAGCTTGAACATGTGTTGTGGGACAGGCGTCGCTCCTGTTCCTTATTATATCGCTGCCGAGCAGGGCAGGCGAGGCGCCTTTGCAGTGCAAGGGTTGCGATCCTGCGCAGTGCTGCTTGTGACAGGGTTTCCGAAGGGTTCTTGTTTGATGTTTGCTTGATTTTTGCCAACGAGCTGCTGCTCCCACGTTGTGCATGCAGTGCAGAGTTCACATTCTCGAGCTTTCGTACATTGACTGTTTCGATCCTTCTAATCGTGATGGCGCTTTCCTCGAACAACGCGTTGGTGGCAAAGGCGGGGCAGGCGAAGGCGCAGGGGCAGGCACCAACACCAAAGGCGCCGGCGCCCAAAGTCGTCGAGCCCAAGAAGACACCGGCGCCGGCGCTTGCGCCAGGTGTCGTGCCGGCTGCAAAGAGGACTAAGGGGCCGCAGGTGCCAGCGATCCCACCACTGCCGACCCTTCCGGTTGGGAACGATCGCCACCAGGCGCAGGCGACCCGTGTGGTGCAGGACCTGGTGCCATGGGTGCCTGAACTGAATACAGATGTGTTTCTATAAATATATTACTATACTAGTATATGATTTTTTGTGATTATGTATTAAAGTACACATGTGTACATGTATGTATGTATGTATATGTATGTATGTTCATATATGTGTATGTGTATTATATATTCTTTACATAATGAAACATACAAGTGCTTTCATGTTTTCTTAAGTTAAACAGTTTGTGTGTTGCTTGTTTGGACTTGTTTAGCTCACGGGGTATTTATTTCTTTTGTAGCTTTGATTTGGTGAGGTCGAGTACAAGCTGGCCGAAGCGCTGGTGAAGATGGGCTTCTACGATGAGGCGCCGGCGCTGGCTGAGCTTGAGCCGCTGTCGATCAAGGACAGGGATGTCGCTGGCGGGGGCGTTGCATCCTTCAAGGAGAAGTGGTGCCCGCGCAACTGCGCCACAGCGGCCCGGGCCTCCGGCTTGTACGAGGCCGCTGGGAGCCTGTTTTGGGTGCCGGCGGGGGCGCGGGCGCAGGAGGTGCTGCCTGTGCAAGATTGCACATGGGCGCAGGTGGAGGAGTTGAAGCCTCTTTTTGAGGAGGCGCAGGAGCTGGCGCGGGTGGTGTTTCCGGCAACCTTGAGTGCCTGGGTGGAGGACATTTCTGTCCTCTACCCGCCGGGCGCGGGCGAAGGCGACTGCATGCCGAAGGCACTGACGCTGGTGGAAAATCACGCGCTGGTGGTGGCGTGGTGGTTGGCGATGTTCGAAGCCCTCAGGGCGGAGAACCAGGACGCGTCCGACTTCTGTACGAGTGTGCACTGACAGTCACGATCCGGCTGTATGTGGGGACGAGCAAGCAGGCGCTGGCGCTGATGCTCTGGCAGGCGACAGACAAGAAAAAGCAGGTGCTGGCGGTGGCGGATGACAACGTCATAAAAAATAAAAAAAAGTTCCAGATCATCGTGGAGAATTGTGGGGTGATTTGTCATATTGGAAAACAATATTAATATACCAACGCATGATTTACCTATTCAATTAATTTTTGATATGATTATATGTAGTATTGGTATGTATGCTGTGTGAGTTGCTTTTATCCTCAAAGGTGAAAGGAATCGGAAAGCAGCTGGAGCACTGGAAGGCGATCGGCCTCAACTTCATGGGGAAGCCGGTGTATCGAATGTTGCACTACGCTCTTCTGGCGATTGCGCAGCTGTCAGACAAGGCGCAGGCGTTGTTGCAGGAGCTGGAAAGCAAGGCCGGGCGCGCGTTCTTGACGGAAGGCCACTCCAAGTTGCACAACGTGATGCGACGCGCAGGCGCTGGCGCGGACAACTCAGAAGCCATCGATCCGGTGGTGGCACTACTGGTATAAAGTTTTGTACATGCCATGTGTCTATGTCTTTATAATAAGCCAAGATGTTGAGTTCCTCCTTATTCGGCATACACTGCTTATACATATCCCAGGAACAGCTGCTGCACCTCCTGCTTGTTGAGGTGGACGGCGAGAAACTGCAGGCGCAGGACGCGACCTCCGACTTCTTCGAGGGCGGCAGAGGCGCCGGCGCTGGCGTGGGCTGGGTGGCGATGTCGCTTTGCAAGCTGGCGGTGTTGGGGAAGGTGTGCGGCGTGCTGAGCACCTCGGAGGAGGCGTGGGCGAGCAATGCCTTGCAGCAGATCAATGATTTGGGGAAGGCGAGGCAGGCGCTGGCGAAAGCAGCGGAGGCGGAGTCTGTGAAAGTCTCAGAGGACGGCCTCTGGTCTGCTGTGTTTTCCTCCAAGGACGCGGTCCCGCCAGGCTACGCGGCCGACTTCATCGCGTACGTCAGCAACTTGTTGGGCGGCGGCTACGACGCGGACCTCAAAACCTTCAATGACAAAGAGGACTTGGTCGCGCAACTCCTTGCAGGCGAAGGCGACAACCCCGTGCTGAAGGACTGGCGGGAGGCCCTGGACACCCTGGACAGAGGGGTTTCCGGCTTGAGCACCGGCGTGGTGGCGGTTGATTCGATCCAGGAGGACTCGCTGGCGTCGGCACCCTTGTCACTGCTGATGCAAAAGTGCGCCGCCGGCGACGACCTGGAGGAGGTCAGGGAGACTACTCGCCGAGAGCGGGCGGAGGTGTTGGCAAAGGCGCGGGGGCTCAGAAAAGGCCTGTGCCAGTTGTTGGTGCTGCCACAGGCGTGCACCAAGGAGGCGGTGCAGTCGGCCTTGGCCCGTGCAGGTGCAGGCGGAGCTGGCAACTTCCACGGGAAGTTGAACGAGAAGCACCGCGGCTACTTTCTCATGGCCGACCTGGAGCATGAGGAGAAGCAGGGCTGGGCGCAGGTGTCAGAGATGAGCGGCTCTGTCAAACAGCGGTTTTCGCAGAAGTGCGCCTTCTTGAAGGGGCTGGCAGGGTCGTGCGACTTCGTCTTCGTCGGCGATGGGCGCTGTCGCGCGGCACGTGCGACGATCGAAGAGGCGCTGGTGAAGGACCTGGACTACACGCAGTTCTTCGAGCTTTGGGTGAGCTTCGCAGGCCCATGTGTGCGGGCGTCAACGCGGCAGGTGGTGGGCGGGCAGGTGAACAAGGAGATCATCTTCGTCAAGCTGCCGGCGCCGCACGTACGCCTGGCCGCCGTGGAGCGGCAGGCAGCATACGGATGTTTCAGTTTTTCATATCATATGTTTAGGATATCAAGGTTTCCCTGATTGAATATAGTATTGAGTTTTCTTGGTATGTATAGTTGGAAAGCAGGATGACTTTGTCTCCAAGAGCAGCGGCGCTGGCGCGAAAGTCACGACGGCGGACACGAACTACGTGAACGTGCCGTTCCTGGCGTCGGCGAAGCTTCCCAAGCTGGCGTGGGCGGACAAGGCCGAGATCCTTGGCATGAACGCGGATGCGGCGCCGGCGGACCGAGCACCGGATGCGTGGGCGGATGGCGAGGGCGCAAGCGCGGGCGTGCCACTGTTCTGGCAGGAGTCCAAGGGTGTGGCGGTGTGGCAGGCGTTGGTGAAGAACCATATGGTGAAGGATGTCGTCGACCTGTCACCTGGTTCTGGGGCGCTGGCGTCGGCGTGCCTGTCCATGGGCATCCGGTACACGGGCTTCTGCGGCAACGAGAAGCACCGGAAGTGGCTGGAGAACCTGGTGGACAGGCAGGCGCTGGCGCTGGCGGCGACAGAGGGGCATGCCCTCTGGACGCAGTCGCTGGCGGACCTCATCCAGCTCCACTTCAAGGATGTGGTCGCAGGCGATGGCGGGGATGGCGGCGGCGACGACGGCGACGAGGAGGGCGAAAACGAGGAGGATGGCGAGGAGGACGAAGTGCCGCTTATGGATGCCGAGTGAACAGGCGGTTCGTGACGCCGGCGCGGGCGCGGCGCTTATATGGATGCCGAGTGCACAGGCGGTTCGTGATGCCGGCGCGGGCGCGGCTTAGATCGTCTTTTCAGCCACTTCAGCCAGGCAAGGCTGGGAGCAACAGAGCAGGCGCTGGTGGGAGCAAAACAAAGCTTGCCTGGCCCGCACTTGCATTGCTGACAGTTGTCTTGGCTATGCATGACCATTTTCATGTCAGGATCCGTATACATGATTGTAGCACGAGTGTGCTTGAGACTGATGAGAGCCGGTATGAATAGTTGTTTCCCGAATTTGATCTTCATTGAATAACAGTTCTGTGTGTCATTCATATGTGTTTCATAACAATGAATAGTTTTTGTATATTGATATGTACATCACATTGTATGTTCATGTTATAATATGAATTATTATTATATCAGTATGGTTATGTCCATTGTTGTATTTAGTGTCCAGAAAGTTTTCTGAACGGTGGCTGCAGACGTTGAATCGCGGGAGACGGCGTGGGGATGGCTTTGCCAACTCCGCTTAAGCAGTTCCTCCGGGGGTGGGGAAGTACCACCCGAAAGCGAATGCAGGCAGCAGCTCGGGATGTCCTGGAAAGCAACGGGCTGCAGCTGTCGCAGCCGCCGGCGCAGGCGCTCGGAAGTGATTGCTGCGGCATGTCTGCGGAGGTGCTGGCGATGAGAGAGCTGGGTTTTCAGCATAGCGTTGTGTTTGCCAGCGACATCTGCGAAGGAGCAGGCTCATTCTGCCGGGCGAATGCTCCTGCCGGGAGCTTTTTCGGGGATGTCCTGGCCAGGAAGGCGTCGGCGCTGGCGCACATGCGCATCCACGGCTACTTCGCAGGGTTTCCCTGCCAGCCATGGTCCCGGATGCGGCGCAAAGGCGGGCGCAGGCGACGGGGATGGAGCGATCCCCGTGCTCGGGTGTTCGTGGCGTGCCTGCAGGCGGTGGCGCAGACACAGCCCCTGTACGCGATCCTGGAAAACGTGCAGGGGATCATGTGTTTCTGGGCGTCGGTGTCGGCGAAGGTGCAGGCGATGCTGCCGGGCTATCGGCTGCTGGCGGTGAAGCTCTGCCCGACGCAGCTGGGCAGAGGGCTTCGACGGCCACGCGTCTTCATCCTCTGCCTCCGAGAGGATAGCCTGATGGTTGGGTGCTGGCGGACGACGAAGGCGCTGGTGGCGGCAATGCTGGGGTCTGTTGCTGAGCAGAAGATGCAGCAACCGCTTTCCATGTTTTTGCTTCCGTCGGCGTCAGCGAAGGGGGCGGCAAAGCAGATGAAGAAACCGGTGGTGGCGAGAGCGCAAGCGAGCAGGAAGACGACGGCGACGGCGAAGTGGATCCTCAAGCACCGCGAAGCCCAAAGGAAAGCCGGGAAGTTGCCGCCCCTGCGCAAGCTTTCCTTTCTGACAGCAAGAGAGGCGGAAGTCTTGCAGTTGGCCGAAGCCAAGTTGGGCCAGGCCAAGGTGTTGGCGGTGGACGTTTCGCAGAGCGCGGATCGCATGCCGTGTGGTGACAACCTTTGATGCTCGGCCACGGTGTTAGTATAACTACAGTCTAAGTAAAATACTGGTAACCTGCCTAGACTTAATTGCAAAATATAAGGCGTTCCACCTAAACACAGGTGCATTTATGTTGCTTCTTTGTGCCTAGGTCCCACAGTCACCACGTCGTCGAAGATCGTCATTCGCGCAGGCGCCGGGGCAGCTTGCAGACTCTTGACCAACACGGAGAAGCTCCTGTTGCACACAGTGCCTGTGGACAAGCTGAAGTTCCCCGCTGCGCCTCGTCGACGCTACCGAGAATGGCTGGCAACTGCCAGGACGTGCAGTCTATTGGTGTGGCCATCGTTCTCGCGGTCAGCATGCTGAATTGGAAAAAGGCGAGGCTGGGCCAACCGAAGACGGGGCAGGCGCAGGCGAAGAAGCGAACGGTGGCGGGGACCATTCCAATTTGGTCTGGGAGTGTCAAGAAACGCCGGCTGCTGGTGCACAAAACGAAGACGGCAGATGTGAAGAATCAGTGAGGGCGGTCCAGCTTGTAGGCGTGTCTCACGGTGCTGCTGTACGCCGAGTGTTGCCGTGGCGTCCAGGACAAAGGCGGGAAGTTGCGGGCGTGATGCAACCGGGAACTGCCAGCAAATATCAATGGGATGTTTTCATACCAAGAAATATAATTAACATATCGTCAATATGTAATGATCATATATTCTATGTTCAGTATGTTGTATTCGTTTCCTGTTATAAATTAACATGATGTAATACTACTGGAGACTCCTGCCCGTGGGCTTCTTGTGGCAAGGCATGTGACGTTGCCTGGAGTTTTGCTTATTGTCTTGCTTGTGGAAGTTTTTTGGCTGCAGCTGCGTGTCATGGTAGTTTTCCGACCTGCTGTGCCCTTGAAAGACCTTTTCGGTCCTTCCTCTTTTGCGAGGGCGACGGTGCAGGTGAAAAGGAAGGCACCTGAAGCGTCAAGCAAGTCCCGCCCAGTCAAAAAGAAGAAGCCGTCAGGGGCGAGGCAGGCTCCAAAGAAAGCGCGAAAGGCGTCGGGCTCAGCGCAGAAGAATAAGAAAGCTTCCAAGGCGTCAAAGGCGTCGGGGTCGTCGGCTAGCGCAGGCGCTGCCGCAGGCGGCGGCGAACACCCTCACAGAAGAGTGCACCCCAGCTTCCAGACAGGCTGTGCCGTTTGCCAGTTCCTGAAGCTTCGCAAAGGCTGGGAACGCATTGGGGTGTCGTCGACGACGATAGGCCAAGGCAAGCGTCTTGTTTGGCTCCGAGAAAGGCCAAACCGCTGGGGCGGGCGGCCGGCGT